GTATATATATATATATATATATATATACACACACACACACAGAGAGAGAGAGAGAGACACTTCTGGTGTGGTGCTATAGGGTAAAGTGCAGAACTGCAATGTCGATTTGAACCACAAGGTCAGTGGTTCAAACTCACCTGTCAATCCTCAGAAACCCTATACAGAGTCACTATGAGTTAGAACCAACTTGATGTCACTTAACAACAATGATATATATATATACAAATATATGTACATGTATACATATATATAAGAGAGATTTATCTTAAGGAAATTGTTCACTGATTGTAGAGGCTGGCAAGTTCTAAGTCCTTAAGTCATATGTCTGGCTGGAGGCTTTTCCTGACTCATGTAGCTGCAGAGGCTGATAAACCCAAGATTGACAGAACAGATGGTGGTTCTGCTGGCAGCAAAGACAAATTAATCCAAGAACAACAGTTAAGATAGCAAGCTGCTGCCTCATGAGCTGCAGAGGGCTACAATTCCCAGGATTAGCAGGTAATATGGCAAGTCACTGACTCAAGTTCTAAGAATGAGTTCAGATGATGATGAGCCAGATTTAAGATTCATATCCAGAAAAAAAATTAAGAGAACTTTGTCAGAACATTCATAAACGAGGGGGTTTCAAAAAGTTCCTGAAAAAATTCCACTATCTTTGAATTTCATTTTACATGAACTTTTGGAAGCATCTTGGTATATTAGAAGACCACATCACCAAGGAAACTCCCTTGATGTCTTTGAATTTTGGTGTTCAATTAACAGTCATACCAGATCTCATCATGGCATGACTCCATCATCATTGCCAAACCACTGAGCATCGTAGTCCAGCCAAGGTGACCCACAACTTTAACCGTCACACAATCATTACTGTGTTTGAGTCCATTGCTGCAGCCATTGTGTCACGCCATCTCATTGAAGATTTTCTCCTTTTTGCTGACCCTCTACCAAGCACCAAGTCCTTTTTCAGGGACTGGTCTCTCCTGATAACATGTCCAAAGTACGTAAGAAGTCTTGCCATCCTTGCTTCTAAGGAGCTTTCTGGCTGTACTTCTTCCAACACAGACTTGTTTGTTGTTCTGGCATAGTTGATATTCTTCTCCAACACCACAATTCAAAGACATCAGCTCTACCATCTTCCTTATTCATTTTCCAGCTTTCACATGCATGTAAGGTGACTAAAAATACCATGGCTTAGGTTGGGCACATTTTAGTCCTAAAAGTGACACCTTTGCTTTTTAACACTTCATATGAGGTTTTTTTGGGTTACTGTTAAATTTGGTTACTTCAGATTTGGTTACTGTTAAAATAAAAACCATATTAAGCTAATAATGTAAATTGATTGAAGATTATTGAATGTACAATTTGCATATTGGGGTAACACATTGTTGTTAAGTACCGTGGAGTAGGTTCCGAACTCGTGGTGGTAGTGATGGTGGTGATGGTGTGCCGTGGAGTCGGTTTAGACACATAGTGACCCTGTATAGGTTTTCCACGGAGCAACTGGTGAGTTTGAGCTACTGACCTTGTGGTTCAAACCAACCTTAAGGTCAAGTGCTTATCCTATGATGCCACACCAAGACTCCTTTTGTTGTTGTTGTTGTTAAGTGCCATCGAGTCGGTTCCGACCCATAGCGACCCTGTACAGGGTTTCCGAGGGTGTAAATCCTTACGGGAGTAGAAAGCCTCATCTTTCTCCCGCGGAGCGGCTGGTAGTTTCGAACCGCTGACCTTAAGGTTCGCAGCCCGATTCGTAACCACTACGCTACCAGAGTGTCAGAAATGTTCCAAAGATGAGAAGACTTTCCAAAATTCTTATACAAAATCTTATAAGCATTTCCATGGGAAAGGAGAAAGAACAGATTAAAACTTCTTTGGCCAAGAAGGATTTTCATATAGCATTGTCTTGAAGAATAATTAAAATAGTTACTGATTTACTCTAAACATAGCTCCTAGTCTGACCTTTGGAGTCTTGATGTGGCGCTATGGGTTAATGCATCAGATTGCAAGGCTGGTTTGAACCACAAAGTCTGGGTCTCACTCCTTGGAAACTCTATACAGGGTCATTCTGAGTAGGAAACAACTCTTAAAAACAGCACTTCACAACAACAAAGTCTGACCTTTGGAGTCTGTTTCCCTAAACTAACTGAATTCTTCTAACAAGCACAACCCTCAAGGCAAAACAGTTGACTAGTATATAGGGCCATTGTTTTGCTCAAAGGTGGCTTTTGTTGTTGTTGATGTTAGGTGCATCATGTAGGTACTGACTCATAAAGACCCTATGCATAACAATATGAAGCACTGCCTGATCCTATGCCAGCCTCACAATCATTGATACATTTGTGCCCATTGCTGATGCCACTAAAGGTAACTTTTAGTATCCTGTTTTTTCAAGGCTCAAGGTTCAAAAGGAGTCCTGTTGTAGTACAGTAGGATAAGCACTAGACTGCAAGGTTGGCGGTTTGAACTCACTAACTGCTCCTCAGAAACCCTACACAGGGTCGGTAAGAGTCAGAAATGACTGGAGGGCACTTAACAATAACAAAAGGTTCAAAAGGACACCTAACACTCAAGTCTGACTTTAGGGGTCGAGGTGGAGTCAAAGGCGGCTGAGGCAATGCTGTCTCTTCCTCCACCTGCTGGCAGAACCTGAGGACCAGAGCCTCAGATGAAAGAAAGGATCATGAATCAGGAAAAACTCGCCAAACTTCAGGCACAAGTGCACATTGGTAGAGAAGAAACTCCTCCCAGAAAGAAGAAAGTGGTTTATAGAACAGCTACAGCATATGATAAAAACCCTCAGTTCTTCTTAAAGAAATTCTAGGTAAATAATATCTCTGGTATTGAAGAGGTGAATATGTTCACAAACCAAGAAACAGTGATCCACTTTAACAATCCTAAAATTCAGGCATCTCTGGCAGCAAACACTTTTCACCATTACCAGCCTTGCTGAGACAAAGCAGCTGACAGAAATGCTTCCCAGCATCTGAAACCAGCTTGGTGCAGACAGTCTGACTAGTTTAAGAAGACTGGCTGAGGCTCTGCCCAAACGATCTGTGGATGGAAAAGCACCACTTGGTAATGGAGAGGATGATGATGCTAAAGCTCCAGATCTTGTGGAAAATATTAACGAGGCATCCAAGAATGAGGCTAACTGATTAGAGTTAACTTCTGTAGAAGATAAAACTTGAAGAGCAGTTACTTGGAGCTGCTATTTTATATTATGACATTATGACTGCTTTTGCAATTTGTTTTGTTTATGGATTTTATAAAATCTAGCTCTCTAATATTTTTAAACCCAAGCTCTTTGGACATTGAAGCTCTTTTCTGGTTTTGCTTATACATAATTCTTCTTTGCAGCTAATTATGCTGAAGCAGCCTGGGAATAAATTTGAAACAAAGGTTAATAAAGTTCTTTGCCTAGCAAAAAAAAGGACATCTAAGGGCACTGGCCAGTGTGGGTTACCCCAAGTTGTACAAAAGTCAGAAATCTGGATTCAGAAGAATTAAGCTTTTTGTCAGCATTTTACCTAAGCCAGCGGAATATGTGACTATTATTGTTGTTATGTACCTTCAGGTTGGTTCCAACTCACAGCAACCCTGAATAGGGTTTCTTAGGAGCAGCTGGTGGGTTTGACCCACCTACTTTGTGGTTCAAACCAACTTTTGATCCACTGTTTATCCTATGGTGCCACTCCAGGAAGGAAGATATTTCAGGCAAGCAATATTATAAAATAATTATGTATCACACACCCTTTCTGAAGAAAC